AGGCACTCAAGGGTGTTATGTGGTATATTGACTGCTGACAAGTTGCTTTTCAGCTTGTCTTTGTATCTTAGCCATGGGCGTCCTACATTCCTGTAGCCCTGATCTAATTGGCTGTACATTAGGATCTTGGGTATCCTATCATCAGACATTCTCAAGACATGACCAGTCCACCGTAACTGAGACTTTATGATAAAAGTTTCGATTCCTCCAATATTACACCTGTTAAACAGGTCTACGTTAGATGTCTATCTTATATATATATATATATATATATACATATATATATATATATATATATATATATATATACAGATTTAAACTCTGGATTTATCAAAGTAGATAGATATAATAGGAGATTATACTATTATCCGAGAGACCCATTTCTGACTCTCATTAGCATGGCTGATACTAATCTCCAAGAGAGTTATTCATCTATTTCTTAGGTAATAACATTCTTCAACTTGAAAAAAATATTATATTGAATCAATTGCTTAGTCTTCTGCTAGGAACGTTGTTTCCCTGCATCGTGCTACACAATTTTTGGGTCGCCAGAATCGATCTTACATATCTATAAGTCTACTATTTATCCTTGCTGTCACATCTGGTGAGAGAACAACATATATATTTTGTTTTTTTTCTCGGCATTAATAAAAGATATAAATCTGTTATACGAGACACCTTCTATTCTTTTGTTGCCAAAACTTAAAACGTGGGAAAATGCCAGTTGTTTCCCGACTGCAGCAATAAAAAAAAAACCTAATCTGTTAACGCCTGTCGTACGCTATTTTATTAAAACGAGACAAAAGAGACATTTTTTATGAGCAGGAAAAAAAGATATTTTCTCGACAGAATCTATCTTAGCCATTTATAAGTCTACCTCTTATCCCTGCACGGAATATTGCTGCCACATCTGGTCTAGTTCTTCTGCTGTGTATTTAGAGATTCTTGATAAAATCCAAAGAAGAATCTGCAATATTATCAGTCCTGATCTGGCATCTCGGAAAAAGATCACTTTATTTTAAACTGTTGCAACGTATTTTTCTCTGCCGTTTCTATATTTTTATGGTAATGGTTTCATACAGTTTGTAATGTTGGGAAGAGACATTATTATTATTATTACTATTATTATTATTACAAGAATTGTTTTAACTCATTTCTTTTGGCTTTTTTTCTCGACAGAAGCTATTTTACACACATACAATTCTACCGTAAATACATGCATTAAATATTTATGCCACATCTGATTTCTATCATCTTTCTGCGATGTACTTAGAGATTCTTGATAAAATCCAAAGAAGAATCTGTAATATTATCAGTCTAGACCTGAGATCCCGGTTTCAGTTACTAGTTTGGCAGTTAGGTCTCATCATTTTGCAGTTGAACCGTAAGTTCTATGCTAACAGTTTCTTCTCTTGAGCTTTTTGAATTAATGCTGTGCTCCCTCAAGGTTCTATCCTTGTGCCTGTGTTGTTCCAAATATTCATCAACGCCCTTCATGATGTCATCAGTTCTCAACTCAATATTCTGATGACACAATCATTTACTCCTGTCTTAATAGTAAGTTTGATTTGTTCGATAAGCTCAAATTGGCAGCTGATCTAAAATATGATATACAGTTATTAACTGGTAAAAAATGGGTTTTGTTTTATTAACAAATTAAAACAGAAGTACTTTTTTAATCTTTATCTATTTTTTAAATTTCCATCAGTATGGCTGATATATAACATTTCCATGATAAATGGAATATTGCGCCTTCTTGGGTTAACGTTTCTGTTGACGTGAGGTGGAGAGATTAAATTAAATCAATTGTGAGATCTGCAGCTAGGAAATTTGGTTCACTGTGTCAGTTTTTTCTCGCCAGAATCGATCTTGTATTCTCTGTTATCTGCTATACGAGGTACCTTTAATTCTTTTGTTGCCAAATCTTAAAACGGAGGAAAATGCCAGCTGTTTAATTACTGCAAAAAAAACGAATTTATTAACGTCTGTCTTTTTTATTTGGAAACGAGATATATAAAAAGAAATTTTTTTTTAGGACAAGAAAGAATAATTTTCATTTTCTTGTCAAAATTATCTTATATTTACCAGTTTACCATATATCCATATGTATCGAATATTACAGCCAAACTAAATCTGGTATAGAATAAACATTTAGAGATTCTTGAGAAAATACAAAAAAGAATCTTAACAATATAAATTGGTGAACTGGCATCTCGACTTAGTCACTTTCTCATTTTTTTGTTTACTTTTCCCTCTTTCTTCTGGTTTTTTTTATAAATACTTTAATAGTAATTGCTCTGATGGAATTTTCTTATATTTGGGTCTCTTAATTTTATAATTGAAATTTCTAGACGTAGTTATTTTACGTTCTATGTTAATTTTAAAAAGACGTACTTCTTGTTGGAACTCTCTTCCGGCTTCTTGCTTTTTTTAATCCTTATTGATGTCTTCTTAATTCCAGTTCTTTTAGTTTTTTCTCTGATTAAAATTTTTCAATTTCTAATATTCTTTGATAATATAACTGTAATTCCATTGCCTCTTAGTTATTTTAATTGTTTCTTAGTGTGAAATAATCAAAATAAATAAATAACATAAATACTTGTTTAGTCTGTGTACATCTACGAAATTTTTACGGTTTCACAGATTACAATTCTAGGCCACGTCGCCATTAAAAAAAAAAATTTACAAAAAAAATTTTAAATAGAAATAAACCCAAATTAAGACATGTGCTGTTTTTAGAAATGGAACATGATGGGAATAAAAGATTTTTGCTTCAGTTGAGATTCATTTCTTCTGTTGAAAAGCAACCAACTTTCTACAGCTGCGTGGCGTTTCGCATAAGTGCCATTGCTTTTTCTCCATAGGGGCGACATTTTCTTCCGTAGTTTTATTCTTAATATGCACATAAGATTTTTTGTAAAATCAAAAATTGCCTCTTGTTCCGTTAATAGTGAGGACCGAAACGGGCAGCAAATTACGCCATACATTTTTTCGTGTAAGGAATGGAATGGAAGGAAATTTTTTTTTTTTTATTATTTGCTCTCAGTTTGACATTCACGACGCATGCGCACACCGGTCATTTGGTCAAAATTTGATTACAGATAAAAAACGTTTCTAAATGACTTATTTTTTTTTGAATAAAAACTTAGAAATTAAATAAATACGAACATTTTTCTGATAAGAGGTGGTATTTGAATAAGCAGTGACTGGAAATGGGTAGGATAAGTCATGGACTTATTTGAATGAAGGTATATTATGTAACAAATTTATTTTTTATAATACGGCTTTCTGTTTTTATTTTAAGTTAAATATATATTAATTTTTTTAACAAATTAAAACAAGGACTAAATTACATCATTGGAAAAAAAGGCAAAATTAAGAATTTAGCGATTTAGTATGAAAAAGGGACTAAGCATAAACTTGAACGTTGAAAAGAATGCATGGTCATCAGTAAGAGGATGAGTCCGAAATGCAATTTGAAGGTTGGGAACACTAGAATCAAGCAGATGGGGAAGTTTAGATATCTGGGAAGCGTTTTTGACAGAGGACGGTAAGTGCGACACTGAGATCCGTAGACGTATTGGAATGGTAAATGACGCATTCCAAAAGCTGGGCAAGACAGGAGGATCTCTTTGGTAACAAAGAAAAGAATACTGAGCCGTTACGGGACATCTGTCCTTCTTTACGGCAGTGAATATTGGACGATTTCCTCAGAGATGAAGAAGAGACTCGAGGCGACGGAGATGTGGTTCTACAGAAGGATGCTGAGGACTTCGTGTGCCGAGAGTGTAAGCAACGATGAGGTCTTAGAGAGGATGAAAAAACGGGGGAGGCTTATATTTAACATCAGAAAAAGGCAGCTGAAGGTCCTGGGATGCATAACGAGGAAGGAGGGCCTGGAGAATCTGATACTCACGGGTCGAATAGAGAGAAAGTGAGAGACAAGGGAAAGCAACGTATGACGTACCTAGCGACCTTTAGCAAGTGGATGACAGAACACGGTTTGGGGGAGGTGGCAGAGGGAAGGAACTTGTTGAGAGCTACAAGGGATAGGAGGTAGTGGAGAGCCATGATCGCCCATAAAAAGAAAAAAGTGTACAATACAATACAGCAATCCCTATTGAATTTTTTTTTGAAAATATTTTAAATATTATTCATTAAAATCTCAATGTCCTACATATATTTAACTAAAATATTTAATTTCTATATTAAAGAATAAATATGAAACGGAATAATGTCGAAGTTGAGTGCCCGCTTGGGAATACCATGTGCTTTAGACATGGATGTGCGGATGGGGAAATGGATAACTGTTCAGAATTGTTACTCAGGTACCCGTGTTCCAATTCTGGTTGGGTTCGTTATATTCCTAAGCAGTCAACCATATAGGTACTGACAAGGATTGACATTGCTTAACTTCGGTGATCGTACGTAAATTGCGTTTCAACGTGATATGGCTGTAATATATTGCAATAAGGTATATATATTTATAAATATGAATATTTTAATTTGATTTTGAAAAACCTAAAAAAACAGGAACTCATTTTTTGTCAACCAAAAGAAAATCTTAACAATTGGATATTTAGATCGCTTAACTTTACAAAAGAAGGGGGAATTGACCGAAAACAATGAGAAACAGAAAGATTTCTAAAAGAGTGTTAAATCGTTAACATTAAAACAGTCTTCGAATTTCCAGGAGTTCTTTCCGACGAAGGTGTGATTATGGATCAACACATGCCCAATGTTTCACTTGTAAACAAATCACGGTCTGAGAGGACCGACAAATGTTTATCTCCGCAACAGCTTAGCCGAATCAAATTAGTTTACAAGAAATAGAAACCATTATTAAATCGTCAACTCTTTCAGTGACGAGATAGATAGATAGATAGATAGATAGATAGATAGATAGATAGATAGATAGATAGATAGATAGATAGATAATGAACATAGTCATAGATACATAGATAGATAGAAAGGATGAGATAGATAGATAATGAACATAGTCATAGATAGATAGATAGATAGATAGATAGATAGATAGGATGAGATAGATAGATAGATAGATAGATAGATAGAAAGAAAGAAAGAAAGAAAGGATGAGATAGATAGATAGATAGATAGATAGATAGATAGATATTGACAAAATGAGATAGATAGATATGAACAGCTAGAAATAGATAGATATGAGCAGCGATAGATAGATAGATAGATAGATAGATAGATAGATAAATAAATAGATAGATAGATGAAAACAAAATATAAATAGATACATAGATAAAATAGAAAAGGATGAGATAGATAGATAATGATATTTTCATAAATAGATAGATAGATGATAGATAGATAGATAGATAGATAGATAGAATGGATAGATAGATAGAAAGATAGATAGATTTCTATATAGATAGATAGATGAAAGAAAAATAAAGAAATAAAATTGGATATATGAGTTAGATATGATAGATAGAAGATTTTGATAGATAGATAGATTTAAAAATCAAAATGAGATAGATAGATAAACAATAAAAAAGATAGATATGAGCAACGATAGATAGATAGATAGATAGATGGGATAGATGGTCAAATAGATAAATAGATGGGATGAGATAGATAGATGATAGAAGATAGATAGATAGATAGATAGATAGAAAAATTCTTTTTTGAGATAGAATAGATAGATAAAATAGATAGATAGATATGAACAAATATAGATAGATCCAAAACAAATATTGAGATAGATAGATGAACAGCTATAAATAGATAGATATGAAAAAAAATAGATAGATAGATAGATAGATAGATAGATATTGACAAAATGAAAAAATAGATAGGAATTTTGATATGAAATCCATAGATAAATAGATAGATAGATGGATAATAAGATAGATATGAAATTTTCTTATTTAGATAGATAGATAGATAGATAGATAGATAGATAGATTGTAATAATATGAAAATTTAGAGATAGATATAAATGATGATAAACAGACAGAGATTGATAGATAAAGTTGGAAAGAAAAATGAAAAAACAGGACGTTTATGATCGTAGAGAAAATAGAAATAACCATTTTTCTGAAAATTTTGAAATAGCGATTTCGGAATAAAGTTCTCTTTTTTTTTTCTTCTTCTAAGAATTAATGTCGAATCTTTCAACAAAGTGCGTTTCCTTACGTCAAATCAACTTCCTAGCACCATTGTCGCCATGACTTCGTCCAATCAACATACCATATTTTGCCCCATTTTGTAATGAGCAAAATCATTCTTCTAGCAGCTTTGATATATAAATATTTTGCTTTTACACGCCATTTTCTGACGCTTGCTACGACGCATGAAGCGGACCCAATAAACCGCCTTTACATCTTCAAAAGTTAAAAAGATATTTAATAAATAACACGCTCAATGGACGCAAAAATCATTTTGCTAAACATGCATGATATTCTTCAGTAAATTTCCTTCAAAAAAAAAAAATCTAACAATACAATTGGAGTGTTTTTGTCATCATTTGCATTTTTATTGCAGATTATATATATGTTGTACTCTCCGGCATTCCCTGTTGTCTGACGTATCTGTTATACGAGATACCTTTTATTCTTTTGTCGACAAATGTTAAGACGTGGGAAAAATGCCAGTTCTTTCCCGACTGTAGCAATAAAAATCGAATCTTTTAACGCCTGTCGGACGCTATTTGGGATACGTGACAAAAGAGACAATTTTTTTATGAGGAGGAAAAGAAGGAATCTATATCTATTTGTCCATGAATTAAATATTGCTGCCACATCTGGTCTGGTACTTCTGCTATGTATTTAGAGATTCTAGATCAAATACAAAGAAGAATATGCAATATTATTGGTCCTGAATTAGCATCTGGACTTCAGTCACATTCTCATCATCTTAACTTTATTTTTCCGGGAATTTTTCTATAATTACATTCATGGTAATCATTTTCTGATGATTCATTGGAGTTTCATTTTTTGAAAGAGCAGATTTTTATCCTAAAAAAGACAATATATATATATATATATATATATATATATATATATATATATATATTGGGATATTATATATATGAATGGGCATGTTAGGACCCATTTAGAATTAAGAGGTATTATGTTGTTTTTTGAAAGAATGTTAAAGTAATGAATGATATTTGTTTTTTTGTAAAGAAATACGTATGGTATGGTAATTTGGGTCAAATAAATTACGTTAGCTAATTTTTAAGATAAAAAAGATTGAAGACCAGCCTTCTCCTATCCCCTCTTTTGGCCTTTTGATACATTCACAATATTTTAAAATAAATATTAGTTTAAATCTTTGGTACCATTTAATTTTATATATATAATAGCAGTATTATAACAAAGGCACGGTCTCATCATTTTACTGTTAAAAAATGGCTAGATGTGATCGTGAACAGCATTAAAAATTTATATATATATATATATATATATATATATATATATATATATATATTTCACTGTTGAATGATATTAAGTTATATTCTATAAACAACAGTTTTTTGCGTTAATACAAAGCTCTTCATTAAAATGAATTGGAGCACTACGGCTGATTGGCATTTGACTTTGTAAAAAAACAATACGTTAGATTTAGTTGTTTCTCTATGTGAATTTTGAAGATATTTTTATTTTCAAATCTCTGATCGGTTGGGTTTCGATTATATAAATATATAACAATATTCAGATATCTAGTCGCTCTATAAAGCTGTAAATACAGCGAAACAGTACTGTTCTTGAATGAAATATATATATATATATATATATATATATATATATATATATAAAATACCTCCCTTACATATTCTTAACGTTAATTGCTAAATATATATTTATTATATATATATATATATATATATATATATTTTATAGATGCAAATATTTAAATAAATGCTCTGTTTATAATAAACATATATATTTACAACATTTACCGGACTGAATTTTTAAAATTTCAGAAAAAAATACGTATCTTCCGACAGGACTAAAAAACCTGTATGTATAACGTGCTATACCATTTAGCTACATTTTAAAGCATCTGGTTAGCTATGGTTATTATTAAAATTTTTAAACTACAAATTTTCCATATCAGTTTTTACTGAAATTTCTGAAATGAATTCTAAAATAATGTTTTGCAATAAAATTATTAAATTTATTTTTTTTTTTTTGTTTTTAAGAATGAGACGTCTAAAAGGTTTTTTCCTTTTTGATGTAGAAAAAATATACAATTTTATATATTGATATCCATGTTATAAATATAACAATCATATTATATATATATATATATATATATATATATATATGCTTCTTCAAATAAAATTTTAATAATTGAAAGATTTTAAAAAGTAGCATCATTTATATATATATATATATATATATATATATATATATATATATTAAAACAATTTATACAAAGAATTAAATAGCAAGAATAAAAATATTTAATTTTTTGTATAAATTGTTTCTTTATGATATACGGAAGCTTCAAAATCTGTTGACAAAATATTTTTTTCAATCTAGCCAAAGTCATCCGTATGGAGAGAAAAAGAAAATAAAAAGAATACATTTCAATGTAGCAAGAAAAAAAAATCTTTCAAAAATATTCTTTCATAAAATTTTGAAAATACCAGCGTCTCTCGTTTCGTTCTCATGTGCAGAGGTGGCATTATCAACAAAGCCCAGTCCGATAAAATCCTAACCGATGAAAATAAAACGCATCACAAAACTTTTCCTATTTGTCTTATTTTTCTTTATATATATATATATATATATATATATATTTAGTTCTTTTATTGGTGTATACGGAATAAATCGAAAATAACAATAAATACTATTATTTGTTAAAAAAGAGTGCTCAATACAGAGTAGAGCAAATATAATTATTTATTCAATTTAATTTTTTTTTGAGAAAGTTTTGGACAAAAAATTGTTAACAACTCTGTTTTATGTTTCTTAATTTTTAAGTTTTAAAATTTATTAGTTCGAATAAATTCGATTTCATTAACCCCAACATTAAAAAACATTAAATAATTATTGATCACCTTAGCTCGTTGTCAATTTTTGCATTCCCGTAGACTTATTTTGATTGGTCATTCCAGCTTAATAAAAAACGTTTCCATTAACGAATATTTTGATTTGAACCTTTAAAACTCTTTCTACATTCAATAGCATCACTTGATAGGATAACAGAAGTTTTGAAACAAAATGGCTTTTTTGTAGTGATTTTATAACATATTTATTTTATATATTGAATAAAGAGTATATATATATATATATATATATATATATATATATATCATGATATTTAACTGTTTCGATGTAAGACAAGCTCATCATAAACACTAGAATTAAAAATTAAATATATATATATATAAATATATATATACAAATAAAAACAAAACAAAATAAAAATTAATAGCATCTCTACAAATATTCTTAAATGTCTATAATTGGTAACAGAAGCCATTGGTTTATACCAACGGCTTTCCATACAAAATTTTCTCAATTCACTCTCGTGTGGTCATGTGTGACGTCATGAGATGCGGTGCGATTTTCGCTTCTAGCGTCTTATATGCACGTGTTTATCGTTGCTTAGAAATCATCTATGTAAACAATGACAGACTATCATCACTGTCTTGTCCGTATATTGTTTAATATGTTGTAATTGACATCTTTGATAATGGCTTATGTAGATGAAAAGCTTAGATTGTATTAAAAAATATGGATCAATATTGTGAATTTCTTTCTTCGTTCAACGATAATGTTATTAAACTTATCAGATGTTTGAAAAAATTTACATAAAATAAATAGACAACACTTGTCTATATTATTTAATGAAACGTGTATATGAATATATATATATATATATATATATATATATATATATATATATATATATATATATATATATAAATATTTTGGTATATATTAAATAAAAATGAAACATAATTGAATGTCAAAATTTTTAAAAAAAAATTTAATAAAAAAAATGAATATTTCACAAAAAAAATTTTGAAAACAGAATGAAAAACATTTTTATTCAGGAAAAAAATAATATGATATGAAAAAATAAATACGAATTTATATATAAATTGAACGAATCTTGGAAATCATAAATACTATTGGGAAATTAAAAAAAATTGATACAAAATTAATATAAAAAAAAATATTATTTAACGTACCATGTTTTACAAAAGAATTACTGTTAAAAAATATACCCATCATATATATATGTATATATATATATATATATATATATATATATATATATATATATATATAAGTTAAAATTAAAGTTAAAAATGCTTTATGTTAAAAAGAAAAACAAATTGATTATTGAATTATATTCACACAAAAATGTAAAATTTAGAAGCTGTAAATATTTAAATTAAAAATTTCATTTCTTTTCAGGACTTCATAAAAACAAATACCTATATATTATAAAATGCATTTTATTTTATATTCTAAATAATAGAAAAATTAATATTTGTTTCAAATTCAGGTTAATTTTAAGATTTGAAAATAATATTCCTCAAATAAAAATTCAGATAAGTATATTTAATTTTGAGAAAGATTTTTTAATAAAAAGAATTGATATTGCTGACAAATTGCTAAAAATGTCTCAGATAAGCGACGTTTAGCGATTTAAAATCATCTTAAATTCGTTTTGAAATACAGCAAAATATTTAACTCGTTGTGAATATAAAATTTAATCGATTGGCTTGAAATTAAAATTAAAATAAAATTTTCCATGAGAATTTTTTCATTTTCTAAATGGATTTATTTTAAACCAAAAACATAAAGTTTCAATTTAAATTAAGGAGGTATCTATCTATCTATCTATCTATCTAACTAAAAATATATATATATATATATATATATATATATATATAT